CAGATTCCTGCTGGTTTGGCAAATGTCAGTACACTGTCAGCATTCAATGTGTCGTTCAATAACTTATCTGGATCCTTGCCTTCAAATAGTAACTCAATAAAATGCAGCAGTGCTGTTGGGAATCCATTTTTGCGCTCTTGCAATGAAGTTTCTTTAACTGTGCCATCATCAGACCAAGGGCTGGTTGATAATTCTAGTTCTTATACTGCTGCACCACCAGAAGCTACGAGCAAGAAGGGTGGGAATGGTTTCAATTCTATTGAAATAGCATCTATAACTTCTGCATCAGCCATTGTTTCTGTTCTTCTAGCCCTGATCATCCTTTTTATTTATACACGGAAGTGGAACCCTAAGTCCAGGGTTGTTGGGTCTACAAGAAAAGAAGTTACAGTGTTTACTGATATTGGGGTTCCATTGACATTTGAAAATGTTGTCCGTGCCACAGGAAATTTCAATGCTGGCAACTGCATTGGGAATGGGGGATTTGGAGCAACCTATAAGGCTGAGATAGTACCTGGAAACCTAGTGGCAATAAAACGTCTTGCAGTTGGACGATTCCAGGGTGTTCAACAATTCCATGCAGAGATTAAGACCCTCGGAAGGCTTCGCCATCCAAATCTCGTCACTTTGATTGGTTATCATGCCAGTGAGACAGAGATGTTTCTCATATACAACTATTTGCCAGGTGGTAATCTGGAGAAGTTTATTCAAGAGAGGTCCTCCAGGGCTGTGGATTGGAGGATTCTTCACAAGATTGCATTGGATATAGCTCGTGCACTTGCATACCTGCACGATCAGTGTGTACCTCGTGTTCTTCATCGTGATGTCAAGCCCAGTAATATCTTGCTAGATGATGATTATAATGCTTATCTATCTGACTTTGGATTGGCTAGACTTCTGGGAACCTCAGAAACTCATGCTACCACTGGCGTAGCAGGAACATTTGGCTATGTTGCTCCTGAATATGCCATGACTTGTCGTGTTTCCGACAAGGCTGATGTGTATAGCTATGGTGTAGTGCTTCTGGAGTTGCTCTCAGACAAGAAGGCATTGGATCCTTCATTTTCTTCATTTGGGAATGGCTTTAACATAGTAGCATGGGCATGCATGCTACTGCGACAAGGCCAGGCAAAGGACTTCTTCGCCGCCGGCTTATGGGATGCTGGACCTGAAGATGATTTGGTAGAGGTCCTACACTTGGCTGTTGGTTGCACGGTTGACTCTCTCTCAACCAGACCTTCAATGAAACATGTTGTGCGGCGGCTGAAGCAACTTCAACCCCCATCATGCTAGCCATTCGATCATCCTGATGAGGCTGTGATAGTTTGATTGACATAGTAATCTTAGAAATATTGTAATTTGTGATTTAGCATCGAGTCCTTTTTTGTGGGACTGCTCTTAGGTTGAGTTGGAAATTGTACTTAATCCCCTTCCCCCTCCTTCCCTGTACATTGTAATATAGTTGTGCCCCCAATTTTCGATGCTCCTTTCCTGATTAGGTTAGGGGGCTTGGTGATGTTTCTGCAGAAGAATGCAGAGAATTTGATGTCCAATGCCATACTTGTCTATTCCAGTTTGATTTGTTCAATAAAATCATAGAATAGAATCAAGTTTTCGGAAAGAAGTCTTTATTGCTTTCTCCTGGTGATGTTTTATTTTATTTGGTTGATGATGTTTTTGAAGAAAAAAAATGTCTACTAGTCCCTGCAAGCAGTGTGTATTTTTGGGTATAATGGTGGTAACGAGGTTTGAGTTTATTTATTACCCTGTATATACTGTTTAAACCACTAACTATTAATTTTAACTGCATCTATAATCTATGGCAGATTACGTGAGCTGATGGGATTTTCCAAAAATACTAGATTTAAGTGTAAAAGAATTAATAAATATAATATAATAACTTTAAGGCCTTTTTAATGGTAAACATTGTTTCTTAATATATTTTCTTCTTTGAACTAAGTTTTTACTTTTTACATTAAACTATGATGTGGCATCATCATCATATTATAATTTATCTGTATATTACAAAATTAGCCTTAAAAAAAGTACTATCACATTGACAACAAAAAATAAAAAATTTTCCATTTAATTCCACTGTTTTATTAATGGGATATCATTATAGCCCATGCATGTAAGTTTTATTGTTTTTTTGGACAAATATTTATGGTTTATTCTTATAATTGAGATTCAAAATGAAAATCTGATTTACTAAAATATCAATCTTTTAGCCGCAATAAACGAATCTCGTCAATCTTTGATAAGAATCTCGCTAATAGGGTCTCGAGCTCTAAAAGCTGGAGTCGTATGTTCACAAATGATCAAATCCTGATAACTCTTTAACCATTAGATCAATATTTATTTATTCAATTACGTGTACATTTTTTTTATAGCCTTTTGCGATAAAGATGAGTTTAATTTATTGCAATACTTTTGACACACTCACTCAATCATAAAATAATTATAAAAGGTTTTGGTCGAATATCAAAGGTTTATTATGAGTTGGATTTTTATGAGTTTATTTTCATAGACTTTTTTGATGATGAGATAATACATAATTAGGTGCCAAAGTAGATCAGAGTTGGTGAGACTTTATCTTACAGAAATTTGTCTCATTTTTTAAGGGAGACTTCATCGTTACTCTTTAGAGCAACTCCAAAAAGAATTGTTTGTCTTATGAAGTAACTCAAGTATCGGTTTCTTACTATTGGAGGACTTTGACGTGGCAACATGAGTTGCTTGAGGAAGCAAACTTGAAGAAGAGAGAGAATTGTTTCCTCAAACAACCGTTCCTTACCAGATTTTAAGCAAATCTTATTAAATATATTTAGAAACGTTTCGAAAATAATAATGATGAAAATTAATTTCGTATAATATTTATGTATTTATTATTGTTTTATTTTATTTTTAATATCTACTTACTGTGTATTTTTTCTTGTAATTTATTTTCTTTCATTGTAGTGCAATTATCCTTTTTAATAAAAATTAAAATTTGGTTCATAAATGATTAGAAAAAAAATTCAAAAAATTGAATTTCTTAAAGTTTCTTACTATTGAAGTAAATTTGTGTTTGAGTTGCTTAATGCTGGTATGACACACTAAGAACCACTTTTTTCATTTTTCAATGTATGAAGCAACTCAAATGAGTTGCTTCTATTGGAGATGCCCTTATTATCGATTGTCAATTCTTTTCGACTACTCTTATTTTTGTTTACTTAAGATGCCTTGATTGAAATATTATGTTATATTCATATTATATCCTATAACCACTCCTACACCTTAAATATATAATTAATATTAAATATGAAAATTAATTGTAATTGATTTTCTATATCTTTATTCAATTTTTACGTGTCCTAAAAAAGGAAACATTTTTACCTCATGACAGTAGGAAACTTTTACAATAACACTATCTCTTTAATTTCTAAAATTGTAACATAATGTTACTTCACTTTTTAAAATCGAAATTCAATGTCACTTTAATTTCTAAATATTATCATAATTATATTTTAGTTAAGTAATTATGACTTGATTATTTTTATAATTAAATAAATAATTAAATTAATATTATGAATATGATGATAAATATTAAAATTTTAGTATTTAATATTATATATATCAACCTCCTTATATAAAATACAAATGATTATATGTTATATCTCTTTTCTAATTATCAATTTTTTCCCTCATTCATCTATTTTTTATAAAATTAATAAATAAAAATAGTTTCTAATTTTTCAATATTTATATTTTATTTTCATAATTAATTTTATTATATAAATTATTTCTTATTTTTCTATTGCGAAAAATATCTTTCAATTGTAATTTTTTTTTATCTTTGATATTCTATTTTTTATTAGAATAATATATATATATATATACTATTTTATTTTCATAATTAATTCACTTATCAATCATTTTTCTATTATGAAAAACATTTTTTTATAAAAAAATACAGTGTTCTAGTTTTAATTTGAATAAATAATTAAATTAATATTATTTATAGAAAGATTAATATATTTAATAACATATTATAATAGTGGCACATAATATTCATATTTATTTTAATTTTTTATCATTTAATTGATTAGTTTGATGGCCATCTAATACCCACTTAATTATTTATTTATTATGTAAATATTCAAGTCATAATTACTTGATTAAAATAAAATTAAGATAATATTTAGGGACTAAAGTGACATCGAATTAAAAATTTAAGGACTAAAGTGACATTAAGTTACAATTTCAAAGACTTAAGTGACATTGTGTTACAATTTTTGAAATTAAAATAATATTGCATTATAACCATATATCATATTGTACATATACATCATGTGGCACACTCATGTGACACGTGCCACTCTATGTACCATGTGTATGTCACATGACATTACCATGACATGTAGATATTTTTATTTAAGAAAATAATTTATTTAATAGAGAGACTCAAATGAGTAACGAATTACATATTCAGAGACTTTTTTTTGAGTTTCATCAGAATTAGGGATTAAATTAAGAGACATAAAATTTGAGAGACTAATTCATCATTTACTCTAAAATTATGTACTTGTATTTAATGTGAATTTCATTAATAGACATTTATATATATCATTAAAGTAAAATTTTAACTCTGAATAAAGAACAATATAATCATATCTAAAAAAATTGTACTTAGGTTTTGTTTATTTAAAAGTTCTATTAAGTATTATTTTTCAGATTTATTGTTATTGAAAAAGAAATAAAAATAATACTAACATATGTTAAAAGTAACATCAAACGGGAGAAATGTAAATGATATATTATAAAAAATTAATATAAACAAATATATTAATTATTTTTTTAATCTTTGTATTTGTAGACCGTAGTCTTAATAATGATAAATAAAAAAGAATGAAGAAACACTACTATAATTTCTTTTACTATATGTGATTTTTTTTGCGAATTTTTATGAAAAATTCGCAGGAAACGTTGTTTCTACAAATTTTTTTGCGAAATTTTATCTGCATGTAATACCTTCGTGGATAATACATTTTTACGAATTTTAAAATTCGCAAGAAATTTTCCTGTGAAATTTCTTGCGAAAAAAATTTGTAGGAAAGTTTTCTGCAAAAAAAATTCTCAAGAAAATTTCTTGCGAATTTTTTCGCAAGAAATTCTGCAGAAATATTTTTTACGAAAAAAATTGAAGAAATTACTATAAATTCTATCAATAATTCTTCAACTTTCAAATGTTTACAATGAATTCATCCGTAGCATTTGTTTCCATGCCTCCAACATGTGATACATAATCCTTTAATTCTAAGATTGTAAATTATAAACCTAACACTCAACCATATAAATCAACTTGTAAGGCAAGTGTTGCCCCAACTTATATACTCTTTAATTGTTTTATTTTCAATCGATGTGGGACTTGAAGTTTTTATAAAATATTAAACTTATAAATTTAAATATTTTTTATTTTTCCTGCGGATTAAAATTTGCAGGAAAATTCACAAGAAAAGTTACCTGTAAAATTTTTCTACCATTTAATAAATATTACTTGCGAATTTATTTTTGCAAGAAACAAAATAAAATTCTTACAATATTTTCTGCAAATTTTTACCATGGAAAAAAATTTCTATGATCATTAAAATTGTAGCAAAATTTGTAAGAAATATCTGTAAATTATTTTTCGCAAATAAATTCGCAAAAAAATTTTGCGAATATTTTTTTGCAGGAAAATTCGTAAAAAAAATTTGCAAATATTTTTTTTAGGAAAATTCGCAGGAAAATGACACTTTTCTAGTAGTGAAAATATTTCAGACGTATTTATGAAACTAATAATTTATTATAAAAAAATGTTTTATATCAATGCATTTTCATTGTAAAAACTATTTTTCTATATCATGTTCATTTATATATATGCATATATATATATATTTGTATCTTATAATGCATTAAATTACAGTTTATTTTATTATTGTGATACAAGCATGAACTATTTACTAAATTTATTGATGAATATTTTTCATCAAAAAATTTCTTTATCATTTTTAGTGAAATTTCATCTTCTAACTGCAATTTTTTTTATCCACCAAAACATAAACATGATACATGTTTTAAAGTACTTAGAGCATAATTTTATTTAGATCAACGTAATGTTGGTATGAATAAACGAAATGTAAAATCATATTAAAAATAAATTTATTGTATTAAAAATACATAAATCATTTAATACCTTTTCAGTAATATATTACATTTAAGAATATTTTATTTATGTAATACACTTTGAATAATACAACCACTGATTTATAAACAAAATTAGTTTCATAGAGAAAACCAAATGTGTAGTGATAGAAACAATCGATAACCACTTATTATCATAATTTAGATTTTGAATATAGATTACAAAATCAAATCAAGACATTAATTAAGAAATAATGTATACAAAAATTAAGGACAGACTTATAACACACCCTCTTATTGGTAGTTGCATGGTAATGCATCATATCCAACTAGCTTATAAGGAATTAAAAAATTTTATCTGAAAAGCCTTTGTGAAGATATTTGTCACGCGAAAACAAATAAAATTTCTCATCGTCGTTTTTAAAAATTGAGTTTTTTTTATTATTAATTTTATGAAATTGACTACTTATCATTTTGAAAATGTTGGGCTTGCTCGAAGATTTGGGTTGATTCGCAGATCAAACAACTCGAAAAGCACACTCATGAGGTTCAAGAAAAGTATCAAAGGCTTAAGTTATCTGTACTCGAAATATACTCGAATCAGAGCTAAATCGAACTGAGAAGTGCTCGAAAAGTGGAATTACTGAAGGATTCCAAATGAAGTGATTACCTTAGAACAGTCAGTTGAAAAGTGATCGAAGATGTCTGATGGACGCACTAGAACCGTTATTAAAAGCACAGAAATAGAACACGTGGGAAAGGCGGTTTAGAAGAAGTTACATACGGAGAAGTTGCATAACTCATACCCACATCAAGCATAATGGATAGCGGTTACAGGGTACAACACTCCAACTCAACTTTCAACCGCTATTGAGTCAGTTTATAAATAGGAGTATTAACCTCGTGCATGGGTTGGAAAACTCATACTTGAACCAAATTCTGAAGCATTCTCTGCCTGGACACATGGCTTCCATGCGAGGAATTATCTTTGAGTATGACTACTTCTCGGCCACTTTTATTTTCTCTTTTTAGGAGTAGAATTATTACCTTAGTTCTCTCAGTTATTTCTTTTAATCACTTAGTTACATCACTTTGATATTGTAATTCTGGAACATTATGTAAGTTGAACAATGATTTGTATTGCAAATATTTCAATTATCCATTCTGTTCATCTACGCATTTATATGTATGGATCCCATTGCTTGTTAATTATTGAAGAATCTTTAGAAACAAGTAATTACTAAAGTCTCTTACTACTCTGTGTCTCGTTCTATATACCTAAATTGAAACATTTTCGTGCTAGTCTAAATAAAAAGAATCTACAAATTCCACCGTAAACAGAAAAATATTTAAAAAATTGATTCCACTTTAAATTTAAGTACACCCAAGTCAACACATAAGTAGAGTTGAGTCATGTAATTAGATTTAGTCCACTTAAGTTAACTTCATCTTCAAACAGAGTCTATTGATTTCTCTAGCATAGTAAATCATCCCCTCAAATTCAAATCTTAAAACTTACAAGTGACAAAATATTATTCCACAATTTAAATTGAGGGCAATTTTATTGATAGAAAAGTATTACTTAACAAATTTGGAAAAGGATACTATGTAAAGTTAATGATGGAGAGAGTGGTATTGATTCTATTCTAACTATTGCAAAGAAGAAGTTGTTTATAACTTCTTTTCCTATACAAGAACTAAAAGAGAAAAATAACTTCGAACAATGTCATATGGTCAACGATGTCCGAAATCAACAATCCAAAGAGGTTGGATTTTTTTTTTTAATGAATTACAAAGGGCAACAATTGAATGATTAATTACCTTTTTAAGCAAAAGAACAAGAGAGATTAGCTGCCATTTTCTAAGAGAAAAAAATTATACATGTGCTTCAATTATTTTTTATTTTTTGTGAAAGGAGTTCTCTTAGTTGTAAATATTGACTCAAGTATCTTCAAAGGTGGTAGACATCACTTGCTTCTTTATTAGATTTCTCTTGAGTATTGATCAGTGTGGCAAAACCTCCAATTTGAGGATCCATGCGATCAATCATTAAATGGATCATAGTTTCACTTTCGATCGTTAAACGGGAGAATATGAATTGATACCAATCATTATAATTTCACAATTGGAGAAATAAAGATTCAAAGCTCTTTGTTACTCTATTAGAATAAAGAAAGAAATGTTTATTTCTAACACATTTTGAATAATACAGACGTTGATTTATATAAACAAAACTAGTCCTAAAGTAAAATATCATGATGAATTCCTATATATTAAATATGAATATCAGGGTTTGAATCCTTCCTTGTGTATCTAACCGTGTTAAATTTTGGGGTCAGCTATCCTACCCTTTGGGATATCTCCAACGTAGCGAGGAGATTAGTTATTGTTATCGGTCGGCGGTGAATACTCCAGGAACGAACAAAAAAAAAACGAATAATTTTTTAAAATAAAAATATTTTTAAGTTATTTTTCTCTAATAAAATGATTTTTAAATTTTTTTTATCAAATTCATTTTTTTATTATAATTATATATAAGTTAAATTTTAATATTTTTAAAACAAATTATTAATAAATAAAAATAATCTTATACCACGATATAAATTATTTATCATGACTATAAAATATAATTTATACATCCAAATATAATATTTATTCGTATATATAATTTATTATAAATTTTAATTATATATAATAAATATTTAAATTGTGCATTATGTATAATAAAATACTAAGTTATATAAAATAATGATTAACATGTGCGCGTACTAAAATGCTATTTAAGGGGAAAAAAAATCAGAAAGTAATAAATAACCCTGTCACTTATATATGATTTGACCATAGTTGAGATTTTGTTTAAAATTAATTTTTGAGCACATTTAGAACAAAATCAAACTTGAAATACTCTTGATCTGTATAATTAATGTATAAGATCGAAAAAAAGTAGTATTTTATATTATTTCTATTTATATATCTTTTGAAGGAAGGGAGAATCCTCGAGAGCAAGACTAGTGTAAAGTTAGTGTATATGATATTAAAAATGGGTTTTCTTTTATCATTATCTGTTTTAAAAAAATTATTATATAACTTTGAGTGCATACAATTAAGAAAGAGACAAACAAGAAAAAAATGTGATTTGTGATTTAATTAATAAAAAAAGGAGAGAAAAAGTTACAAAATTATTAACTAAATATGCAAAATGTGATGCAAGATACAATATGCAAGGAGCATTATTCTAACAAATATGAATCACCCTTCGAAAGTATGCAATTATGAAGGATGAATTATTTATTTACATAACTTGGGAGAGAAATAAAATCGGAGTAAAAGAGATAGAATTATAGATACAATAAGTGATACAATTGAAAAATAAAATGTTTGATTGAAGGTGAGACAAAAATATAATTTATTTCTAAATAATTGATAACGTGTTTTCTAGTTCCTTCAATTTTAAAAAGAATTGTTGATTTTTTTTTATGATACACTTTATAATTTTTATAAAGTATTAGTTTTATTTTTTATTTTTTTATCTTTATCAAAGATTGTGAAAATATGTATTTCTCTCTTATATATTTTAGATTGATAGATTGTCATTTATTATTTTTAATTAGTATTGATATGTAAGTTTTTATATGAAATGATATTTTTATCTCTCTAATAAAAAATTTAATAATAATTAAAAGTTAAAATTGATAATTATCATTTTATTTTATAAACTCCATAAAATTAACATAATTATAATTATTTATATTGATTCATTGAATCGATTAAAAATATTTCATAATATGTAGATGAAAGAGTATAATTTTTTTAATATATTTTTTATTATTGACTAAAAATCATTGCATTTTTTTTCTCTTTCTTTCTCTTCCTTCCATCCATAAGTGGATATTAGAAGAAAAAAAATTTCCCATAAAAGATCATTGAATAAGAAAGAGTACCAACAATTTGCTTTATTTTTAATGAACTTCATTTAATACAAAAGTCTAAATAGGGGCATGATTATAAATTTACAGCATTTCTATATTGGTTGAAAAGTCAACCTTTCATGTGCAAACAATCTCTTATCTATTATTATATAAGAGTCCTAAGGCAGCAATACACAATATTGCAATCACAACTCCAATCCTATTTTCTTCCTCAAAAAATGTCTTCTCCTTTTGTCTTCCCTGAAACACAATCCACAGTTCTCCCTGACCCTTCAACCTACTTCTCCCCAAACCTACTTTCTTCTCCGCTCCCCACAAGCTCTTTTTTCCAAAATTTCGTTATTCCAAACGGGTCACAACCTGAGTACATTCACCCTTATCTCATCAAAACCTCAAACACATCACTTTCTGCCTCATACCCTTTACTCATCTTCACTGCAGCAGTGTTGTACCAAGCTTTTGTGCCAGATCTCACTATCTCTTCCACTCAAACACAAACAAAAGAACAAAACCGTGTAGTTTCATCCCACAGTGACCTTGGTGTCACTTTGGACATTCCCTCTTCCAACTTAAGGTTCTTTCTTTCAAGAGGAAGTCCTTTCATAACTGCTTCTGTGACATCTCCAACGTCTCTCTCCATCACAACCAATCACACCATAGCCTCTTTATCTTCCAATGATAACAAAACCAAGCACACCCTTAGGCTCAACAACACTCAAACATGGCTCATATACACCTCTTCCCCAATCAATTTGAACCATGATGATGGTGCTTCCGAGGTTACATCCAAACCATTTTATGGTACAATTCGTCTAGCAGTGTTGCCTGATTCCAAATATGAGGCAACTCTCGACAAGTTCAGCTCTAGCTACCCTTTATCCGGTGATGCAACATTTGAGAATTCGAAGCCTTTTCGTTTGGTGTATCAATGGCAAAAGAAAGGGTCTGAGAATCTTCTCATGTTAGCTCACCCTCTTCATGTTAAGCTTTTATCAAAGTACAACAATGCTGGTGTCACTGTGCTTCATGATTTTAAGTATAGAAGCATCGATGGTGATCTTGTTGGTGTTGTTGGGGACTCATGGGTATTGGAAATGGATCCTATTCCTGTGACATGGTATTCTAACAAGGGTGTGAATGATGGTTCACGTGATGAGATTGTGTCAGCGCTTGTTAAGGATGTGGAAGCGTTGAACTCTTCAGCAATAACAACAAAATCGTCTTATTTCTATGGGAAGCAAGTTGGTAGGGCTGCGAGGTTGGCATTGATAGCGGAAGAAGTGTCTTTTTCCAAAGTGGTTCCCACAATTAAGAAGTTTTTGAAAGAGACCATTGACCCTTGGTTGGATGGAACTTTCAAAGGGAATGGTTTTCTATATGAAAAAAAATGGGGTGGACTAGTAACCAAACTAGGGTCAACTGATTCAACAGCTGATTTTGGGTTTGGTGTTTACAATGATCACCACTTTCATTTGGGTTACTTTCTTTATGGAATTGCGGTTCTAGCAAAGATTGACCCTGAGTGGGGGCAAAAGTACAAGCCACAAGCTTATTCACTTGTGACAGATTTTATGAACTTAGACCAAAAGTATAGCACAATTTATCCACGTCTAAGGTGTTTTGACCTTTACAAGCTACACTCCTGGGCTTCAGGGGTGACCGAATTTGAAGATGGAAGGAATCAAGAAAGTACAAGTGAGGCCGTGAATGCGTACTATTCGGCAGCATTGGTGGGTCTAGCATATGATGACTCAAGTCTTGTGGCCACAGGGTCAACGCTAGTGGCATTGGAGATTCTTGCTGCACAAACTTGGTGGCATGTGAAAGTGGGAGAAAACTTGTACCAAGAGGAATTTGCACAAGATAATAGGATAGTGGGCATTTTGTGGGCCAACAAGAGGGATAGTAAGCTTTGGTGGGCCACTGCTGAGTGTAGAGAGTGTAGGCTTGGGATCCAAGTGTTACCCTTGCTGCCTATCACTGAGACCTTGTTCTCTGATGCTGTTTATGTTAAGGAGCTTGTGGAATGGACCATGCCCTATTTGAGTAATGAAGGGTGGAAGGGCATGACCTATGCCTTGCAAGGGATTTATGATAAGGAAACAGCATTGGATGAGATAAGAAAGTTGAAAGGTTTTGATGATGGCAACTCTTACACTAATCTCTTGTGGTGGATTCACAGCAGATGAGGAAAGTTTTTGGACAAAAAATGGTTGAAGTCCAAGGAGTGTATAATGTTTGATTTCAATTTGTAATTGCCAGTGTTTTAATTTGCAGTGATTTATGAAATTTTGTATCTCATATTATGTGAAATTGATCAGTCTTCTGATTTTTAAGAATTTAATAAAATTGGCTGTTTAATTACCAATTTACCATAGTTTTCTGGTGCACTAGAAGTTCAGGTTCCTATATTTATTAAGAGTGTTTCTGACACAACATTACTCGCTTTGTTTATGTTTAGCGTTAAGTCAAGGAATGATATTGAATCTCATTCAAACAAGAAAGGTAGAAAACTAACTACCCGAGTAGATATTGTTTCATTTTCTTAAGGCTCCATGCTTTTAAAGAGGAATGTATTATTTTGGCAATACAGAGTTTTCAATTAAGGTTCAGAATTCAATAGGCCATAATCAATGCTACACGAACCATACAACAACACTGTTTATTTAAATAATAGTATTTGATGATATGTCAACATTAAAAAAGGCTAGAAAATACAAAAGATAAGGTGAAGAGCAAACCCAAACTCCATATCCATGTAAGCTTTGCTTTACCTTTATAAAATGTAAACTGGGCCTTAATGTTTTAGGACTCCTCCTTAATCACCTCATTTGGACCTCTGGAAAAAATCTGTATGACCTATAGAACCTTTAGTTTTAGGTCCGATGGATCCTTTTGCTAGAGTGTTCTTTAAAACCAGAGGTGCCCAATATTTTAAAGGCACATCAACCCAACTTTAGTCTCTGGACCGAAAGACCCAAATTCAAAAAAGTCCAAACTGATTTAACATTTTGACATGGACAGAAAAAATAAAATATTTTGACTCCTAAAAAAGGATCTGAAACTCTACTAATAATGATATATGTCACTGAAATTGGCTGTATTCTCAAAAGGGAACGTCCAATTATAAAAATTCATAGAACAAAGAAACTGCACCTACTCGTGTATTCTCTAGATTCCTTGAATCGGTATTGAGCTACTGAAAATGACCATGAAACAGAATATTTAATTGGAAAATGCTAACCAGGTATTAAAGTGGAAAGATCTCGTGAAAAAGTAGTATAATTTATTTTCATCAAGATTTTCAACTGTCTTTGACTTTTAACAAAATTTATATTTATAAATCTATTGATCAATGTTCTTACCACACTCATAAACAAACTCTATTTACTAATTTATATTCCTTCCGTCATATATTATTATTTATCTTTTAAGATAATGTATATTTATTAAAAAATATTAATTTCACAAAGTGTTATAATAAAATATTTTTCTTTGAAAAAAAAACTTATTAAAAGAGTAATAATATAATTGTGAATTTATTAAAATAGTTGAATAAGATGAATATAGTTTTAAAAAAGTAATTTACTCTCTTAATTTTCTAAAATAATAAATACTTTAAGAGGAATATAATATAAGACAGAAGAATCACAATTAATCCCAATTTAATTTCAAAGGAAAATGCTAAAGCAAATAACCGAGGGAAAAGTCAGAGACACGTTGTGAATTGTGATTTATTTGGAATTTGGCTGAGCCACTAACTTCGGTAAAAAAGCTTGACACATTCAATCGCACTACACAGCTAATATGCCTCTTAATGCAATACCAAAACTGTGATTCAAAGGAAAAAAAATATATTATAAAGTATAGACTTCACAAGCAACTATTAAGCACACATTCAAAAAATTATATATCTTAAAAAGAAATTTAAACAATAAAAAGAAAATTGGCATGATTGTGGACAGATATTTTGAGTCCAAAAGAACTCACATTTTATTTTGGATCGTTGACAAAAGAGAGGAGAAACAAGAGTTCGAAAACAACATAAAGAAAAAAGCACGAGACAAATATATGTTTAAATCAACTTGAGGGGTAAACTAATTCAAATGATTTTTAAATTAACTTAAGCTAATTTCCTGAAGGTGTTAAATTGGTTAAATTTCTTTATCTTAAGTGGGACTTAAGATTGAATCTGAATTTGTTTGTATTTCATATCTTTTCATGTAAATTTGAGAAAAGAATAAAATAAACAATTGTTAATCTTACTAGAAATCTTGAAAGAAGTTGGTAATTGGCTTTTTTTTTTTTTACATGAAGTGAAGCCTTGTCATAATCAAAATTTTTTACTAAAGAAATAACTTAAGGAATAAACTAATTCAAAGGAAACACACTCAAAAACTTATATTTAGTAAAAATATATAAGTTGATAAGTTGGATTAAAACCGTAAAAAAATAGTTGAAAGTTATGTAATTAATTAACTTATTAAATTCTCTATATATAAATTATAATTGTTATCTAAGAACGGAAATATTTTTAGGGAACTTCCTTTTAAAAATGTTTTTGTGAATTTTTCTTAATTTTATATCTCTTTGGATATATCCATATCCATTTCATCTTTAATTTTTTGAATTAAATTTTAATTTTTAAAATAATATACGAATAGTTATTACCTTGAGAAATTATAAATTCGCTTAAACTAGTTGTGATTTGGTAAACACGAAGTAAAAAGGTGAAATTTGTTTATGATAAAATAAAGTGTGTAGAGAAGAAAATTCTGAAGAAAATAAATGTTTTTGTTGACCTAACTGTTGCACACAACACTAATTCTGCAGGCCTGAGGTCCCAGCAGAGACAACACTGTTTGACTTCCACTACACTGCACCAACAGCAGCCCACACCACTCACCACATACTGCACTGCACACTGCACACTTTCCACTCTTCTATTACAACACCTCATGTCTCATGCCTCATACCCCATGATCACATATTCACATGTCAAATAAATAAAGCCTTCCCTGCCATTAAATTGATTTCCACTACCTATTCTCCCCAACTTTAGTATTTTTTTTAATAATTTTTAGCAAGGAAGAAAATGAAATGGTAATGGGATGGGGAAAAATCAAATATTTTGTAAGATCTACTCAAATTACTTTCTGACGTGAGAACCAGGTAGCCATTTCCTTCCTCTAACGTTATGTGTTTTTGATCACGTGACTGAGACATCTTATGTTATTCGTCATTGTTTTTGTCTAACCATATAATCACCTTTGATATCGCGAATGGACGATGAGAAGGTGAAAAAATTTGTCTGCTGTCTGTCGTGCTTGGGATTCATGCATGTTAAGTTTAATCACTGCTGCAAAAACTTTCCAAGACCATGCATGTACCGTGTTACGTTCAGACAAAGGTTGAAACAAACGCACTTATATTTGCTTTTCCTTTTTTCCCTTCTTGTATTTCTACATTGATTTCAACATAGAAAGATATGATATACTGTAGTACTCAACAAAAGGAAATTCAAATTTCAAGCAACACTTGAAACTCACAAACTCATTATTACTCGGCATCTATACTATTAATTACCGTATTTTTTTATCCGATTATGAGTATAAATAAAAAACAAAATCAAGAAATAATTATAGTAAAACCCCCGAGATTTATTATAATCACACATGCACCCTTCCATTTAAAAACATTACACGTCCGTCCCCGTGGTTTATTTTTTTGTTAAAACAATTACACATGTACTCCATGAGATATTAAAGTTATTACACATGCATCCTCTTACTTTGCAAGGCTTACACATGTACTCTCTATGTTTTTCAAACATAACACCTATGCAAAAATCTTTAGTGAAACTCAATCAAAACAATTAATGAAACTCGCAAAAAACGAAATTTGTATGAACGTTGGCTACAAATAATGTGTATATAGCTTCCTCATGGTATTGTTTTGTTGGTGCCAAGGGTTTAAATGAAGGGGATAAGAAAAATTTTATGCTATAATTTTTCATTAAAAATCACGTGATAAACACGTGACTGGAAAAATAATCGGACTGAATACTGTTTGCAAGGGAGGAGGTGCATCTGTAACAGGGTAACAGAGGTTAGGGAGAGTGTATGTGCAACATAAAAAATATATATATAAAAAGGAAGTGGTGCATGTGTAATATTAACAAACTTTAGGGGGTATTGATGTAATTTGATAAAAAAGTAATAATTTATGTTAATTAAGAAAATCAATAAGTTTTATTTAATTTTACGAATTCTATTTTTTAGTTTCTTAAACCATCATTTTTTTTAACTTATATTAAGATTAGAAAGGATATTATTGAAAATACAACATTAATTAACAAACTTGGGTTGACATAACTAGAGAAGGATTAATGTCAACTAAGTGATTAGAATTTAAATTCTTAGTTTTAGGGTTGGAGAAAACTCACGCTAAGAAGAGATACTCATTTATCTAGTGTTTGTCAAATCTCTGAAAGAGATTAATTCTTGTATTCAATGAGAGATACTCCTCTTTAATGAAAAAAAAATGCAACCTTAATTAAAAGGAGTATTTTAGAGATAATAATATTAAATAACGTAAAATTAGTTATGATTTGTTTATATTTGAAATTAACAAACATAATTTTTTCTCTCTTATTATATTCATAATAAAAGTGAATAATGATTTTGTTTCAGTTTTATATATAATCTAATGATTTCATTTTTAAAATTTTCTAATTAAGGTTTTTTTTACTTAAAAATCAGTAATCTAACATCAAGTTTTCTTCTTAGTTTTAAAATAATAAATATTTTTTAAAAGCATATTTTTAATTAAAAATCCTAATGTTTTCAAAAGAAAATTTATGTCCCTAAACCAAAGATCGATGTTTAATTTCTGACTAAAAAATAATAAAGTTCTACTTTAATTTTAAATAGGTCTACTAAGAGGAATATGTATTAGTTGGGAGTCAAATAAAAATATTTGATACTATTTCTTAGTTATACTTAAAAAAAAACACACACACAGAGTCATGATTTAATCGATTAAATCGAATATTTAATTGATTAAATCTAAAATTCAAATATTTTTGTTTGTAAACAAGTTTGATATAATTCATTACCAATTAATATATAGTTTATTAACACTTTTCAAGTATACACTGTTAAGAACTAATTTTTTTTTAAAGAAAATACATTTTTTTATTGTTCCAGTCAACTGTTATTGTTTGATACCAAATGTATGACCTTATTTAATTTCTTGTCCATTTCGCTAGCTAGTCTTTCTCTTATTTCTTTTGCATTTCAATGATACCAATAGAATATTAAATTAAAGAAATAGAATTTCATTCTTCTTCTTTTTTACTTATTTT